TTGCCTCCCCCCCCCCACTCAACGTACAAAACGTCGACCATATAAAGCGAGTAAACAGGAGCATAAAATAATAACGCTGAATTTCTCAAAATTCTTTCCGTTTATTTTCGTACTAGTTGATGGTACATCAATTAATCATATTTATTTGATCATTCATTTTTATTACAAAAAAGTCTAGCAGGTATTGTTGTTAGCAAAAGCTTGATCCTGCGTGGCGAGCTCAGTTCAATGCATTGAAAAAATTCCTTGATTTATTTACCTCTGGCTCGAATTCACCTTGATTATTATTTGAATTTGACGCTCGGAATACCACAGCAAAGCCTCAACGTAAATAATAAAAAAAAACGTCAGTCGAGTGAAAACAACGCCAACCAATACGACTCAATCATACAGAAACATGAATAAACATTCATTTTTCACGGATTCATTCATTCATTTTGTGTATTCTCTTCAACATCAATAGTGAATATTTCTGGTATTGAAATACAATACCAGAATTAACGCGGCTTCATTCTCCATTCAAAACAAACAGAGCTCCATCCATTGAAATAAATTCAACGATTCATCTAAAAATCAAACAATTGCATAAAATTAAAATCAATGAGGAAATCTCCGCGAACAATCGACTCGCGTTATTTCACCCTGAAACTCTCACATTCAATGATAAAATTCATTTCCATTGTCCGAGAACCCATAATTGGCGGATAAAAAAATTCTCGAGAAGTCTGAAAACAAATGAAACATTAAAAAACTGCACTTTTTACCGAGTGTCTTGCCGAAAGGGGTTGGTACTTAATTCATGATTGACCCAAGTGAATGCAACTGGGAACAATCTCACTCGGCTCTCTCTCTCTCTCTCTCTCTCTCTCTCTCTCTCTCTCGCTCGGTACCTCTCCTCCTTCACCGCATGAGGGGCTGGCGGGCGAAGCGAGCAGAGGACGTATACTGCCCTCCCACACAGATGAGCGGACAAGAAGCGGGTGGCGCGCGGCACTTGAAATTATTTGTCACACCGAATCGATCGGACTTGCATTCTTCTGTCATATCGGACGGTTAGAACTTTTCCCTTCTCAGGATTTCTATCAACAAATTTTCCATTTTCCCGCGATCGTGTAAAATTGTACAAAAGTCGGTGGAGGACTTCGGCCAAGCAAAACTGACTAATTGATTTTTTTCCGCCCTCTTAAACTCTCACTCGAATTAATAATGAGTTTTAATTGCAATTGCCCTCGAGGTTTACACGTTAACTTTTCGAATAATTTGCCACTGCGCTCAGCCATCTTCGATCTTGCCACGAATTTCTCTCTCAAATGATAGAATGAAAATAATTCCCTTTGTTCTTAGTTTTTTTTGTCCCCCGCTGGATTTATCTGTCTTGATTCTCACTCCGTCGAGCATGTCAATTGATTCAGGCCCTTTCCTCTCCATCTCCTCTTTGCTCTTTCATCCTTTGCCATTAGACCTCGAAGGCGTCCCGCTGCTACGCTATCATAGCCGCTATTGGACTGAATCTCATGATTTTACTGAGCAATATCCATGCGACTGAGGCTAGGGCGCACAGTGTCACACCACCCCAACCGAAATCCATACTCCACGAGGTTGTAAAGCGACGAGCTGTGAGCAGATTTCTGGGTACAGGACCACCAATAACTCCGTCCTCAGGACCCTCGATAATCTTGGCATTACGGTCTTGTGCTCGCTTGAAGTGGATTATCGTCAGGGTGAATAGGGCAAAGGTCGCTGAAAAAATGAGTTCACGTTAAATCATCATGATATTTTTAGATATTCAATTTCAGGATATCCAACAGTATTTTACTAAAGAGTTGGTAATAGTATGTTTCGTCATTCTTTCATTTTTATTCACTTTTCTATATTTCATTTTGGGGATTTTATATGAATTCATCAATAACACGAATATCCATCTCGCTGAATTATCTTTTTTTGACTAATTTAATGAATATAATTGAAGGGACTCCATTGATGTGTTGGAATCGCCAGTATGCGATGTTTCATTTAACTGAGAGTGAACAAATCCCAATTAATCCCAATTGCAATAAACATAATTTTCCGTGCAAGCGCGTCACTCAATCGATAATTAACTCCACGATATAAATTACTGATACGGGAGAAATTAATATTTATTTGATAGGTACATGACAGCCGAAGTCATTCTAATAACCCGGAAATTCGTCGAAATTTTCAGGGGTTGTATTCAAACATTTCATTCCCGACAAAAAGGCCGCCTATTCATTACAGAAGAGGCATTCATTATCGAATATGGATGATAGGATGAGACCCAGAACGCATTTCAATCGACATGGCATATCCTTCACAGTTCGTTTTGTAATGGAATTGAGTATTTTTTATCGGAAAATTATCTCAAAATATAATTGATTGAATTGTAATTGGAGATGTCTGTCCGCGATATGGTAATGAGCAGCCATAATGCCGCCATTGCCCGGAAATTGTCGAGAATTTTTCAATTATTTTGTTACATAGCAACGAGAGGAAGCAAAACGCATCCCGATGAATTTCTGATGTGCAGGAAAACTTGAGCAAAAAATTTTTACAACAGACTACAAAGTTTGCAGCACTCTTGGGGATTCGGTTTGATTATTCCCCCCACCTCGATTGCAACAGATAGGACCGCAATCCATATAAAGTCATATTCGTACCGGAACTTTACGTATTTCAACAGAAAATTTCCATTCAAGGTTGCCATGCTACTAAATGGAAGTAACCGAAAATCATCTAAATAATTCTACTGCCAGTCCTCCGCAAAACGTTAAATACTGCATTCCTATATTGAGAGAAAAAATTAGTTCTGTCGAAAAATTATACGATCCCCTGAAGAGGTCTTTCGTCGTGTTGAATCGATATAGTTGTCGGGCAAAAAAAAAGTTTCCACCAAAACATGGTAATTTTCGTGGTAGTAATTGCGCTCGTGAGATATTTACATGACTTTCGAGTAAATACATTCGTTCTGCAGAGAATTATATGAGGCTAGGGTTTCATGAAGTGAACAAATGATAACTTCAAGAGGAAACTACAATTTTCTTTCCTGAGAAATCAGGAAAGAAAACTCAAACTGAGTTATTGGCAGAACTAAATAATTTCGAGGGGACATTTTTTTTGGTAAATGATATTCTTTCCTCGTCAATCTATTCTTTCTATGGTATATCCATGAAATTTCTATTTACAATGCCAAAAAAAAGAATCAATTCTCTTTCGAACATCGTATGAACATCGCTCAATATATCGAAAGAAAATTCAAGTCTTTTCTTGAAATTATCCTGCACTCCGTGGAAAATATCACTGTTCACTGGACAAATAGATGCTGTACTCAACAACATTCATTCAACATCGTCAATCCCTCACATAATTTCCTGCAGACCTAAACTATTTCCCTAAAAGACGTATCAATTCACAACCAAGAAATTTATGTCCACGGAAGGTAGTAAATCCCGCTGGAAACTTCCTTTATCGTCTGCAACACAATTGATTTCATCGCAATTCCTTTCCAACAACCCCCTCAAAATATCATAAATTTCGTTCGCGCACCCAGTAAATTCCATAATTAAAATCATTTTCACCCGAAAAATAAATTAACCCATCTATTCAAACGCAGCGCAGAGATTTCGAAACCGTTGCCATACGACCGCGCCCATTATTCTCTCTCTCCCCCCTCCCCACCCCACTCGAAAAAAATTTAAATAGTATTCACCTGCTAGAAGATACATGACACCCGTCACGAGAACCGCTGATATCTGATGCCTGCAGAGGCCAAAAAATCCCACGAGTACTGCACTCCCCAGGACGATGAGGCAAACCATGGAGCAGGAAATACTCAGATTTTGCATTCCTGTGCACAGAGAGAACAAAAAAAACCATGCAAATAACTGAAATCCTTCCTCATTCCTCCTCTTTTTCCCTCGCATTCAAATGGACCGGATTGGCATCATCCACTACAGACAATTGAAATCAACCCCGTGGGTTCTGGAGTTATTGATCGGCTCGCGGTAATACGCCTGATTGGTTGAGTACGGTTTCACTTTAACCCTTTCTCCCTTTGTATTT